CCGCCCGCCCCCCCGCCCCCGAGCCACAGCCCCCAGGCCCTGTGGGAGCCGGGGCGCCCCGCGGGGGAGAGCCGAGGCTGGCTGACAGCACTGCCACCAGGCCCAGAGCCAGAGGGGCCAGCAGACGTGGGACTGTGAGGCCAGGACCCAGAGGGGCCAGAAGACGTGGGACTGCGGGGCCAGGACCCAGAGGGGCCGGCAGACGTGGGACTGCGGGGCCAGGACCCAGAGGGGCCGGCAGACGTGGGACTGCGGGGCCAGGACCCAGAGGGGCCGGCAGACGTGGGACTGCGGGGCCAGGACCCAGAGGGGCCGGCAGACGTGGGACTGCGGGGCCAGGACCCAGAGGGGCCGGCAGACGTGGGACTGCGGGGCCAGGACCCAGAGGGGCCGGCAGACGTGGGACTGCGGGGCCAGGACCCAGAGGGGCCGGCAGACGTGGGACTGCGGGGCCAGGACCCAGAGGGGCCGGCAGACGTGGGACTGCGGGGCCAGGACCCAGAGGGGCCGGCAGACGTGGGACTGCGGGGCCAGGACCCAGAGGGGCCGGCAGACGTGGGACTGCGGGGCCAGGACCCAGAGGGGCCGGCAGACGTGGGACTGCGGGGCCAGGACCCAGAGGGGCCGGCAGACGTGGGACTGCGGGGCCAGGACCCAGAGGGGCCGGCAGACGTGGGACTGCGGGGCCAGGACCCAGAGGGGCCGGCAGACGTGGGACTGCGGGGCCAGGACCCAGAGGGGCCGGCAGACGTGGGACTGCGGGGCCAGGACCCAGAGGGGCCGGCAGACGTGGGCCCGGGGCCAAAAGGGCCGGCAGACGTGGGCCTGTCTAGGCATGCTGGGGCCATGGCTAGGAGATGTGTTTGAGGGAGAGAGACAACCCTGGCCACTGAGCTCACTGCTTACCCCCAGAGCAGGCCCAGCGTCCCTTCAGCTCCCCGATACTCACATCAAAATCCACTTTCTCCCCATCCGGGATCTTGGGAGGCACCAGGTTCGGCATGAAGAGCCTGCCAGGAGAAGCAGAAAGGAGTCACTCTGCCCTGTTTGGCTCACGGGTCGTCCCTTGTTTAACTCCAGCTCGGAGAGGCTCCTTCGGAGGTTAATCTGGTGACCGTACAGCCCGATTAGACAGCAGAGCACTGTGCAAGGTGGCAGGAGAAGGCAGCGTGTGTGTCTGAATTCAACGGAGAGAGGCTGGCAGGGGAGTTCATTTACTATTAGCCTCCTGTGATCTTAGGGGCCCAGGTGTAACTGCCTAGAGATCTGGGCTTAGAGAGAGTGATGTCGCAGCTGGGGCAAGCGTGGACCGTAGGCTCTGTTCTACCATGGAAAAGGGAGCAGACCCCGCAGGAGCAAAATGGAAATAAATTGTCCAAACTTTTCACCGCTGAAAACCTGGCAAATAACAGGCAAGAGACGCCATTTGCACTTAGAACCACAGAACTGGAGAGACCTCGAAAGAGCGTCAAGTCCAGTCCCCTGCCCTCATAGCAGGACCAAGCACCATCTAGACCAGGGGTGGGCAATAATTTTTGATGGAGGGGCCACTCCCCAACTGCCTTAGGCAATTTATCCCAGTATTTAATTTCTCGGACAAGAAGTTTTTCCTAATGTCCAACCTAAACTTCCCTCACTGCAGTTTAAGCCTATTGCTTCTTGTCCTGTCCTCAGAGGCCAAGGAGAACAAGTTTTCTCCCTCCTCCCTGTGACACCCTTTTAGATACCTGAAAACCGCTCTCATGTCCCCTCTCAGTCTTCTCCTGTCCAAACTAAACAAGCCCAGTTCTTTCAGCCTTCCCTCATAGCTCATGTTCTCTAGACCTTTCTTCATTTTTGTTGCTCTTCTCGGGACCTTCTCCAATTTCTCCTCATCTTTCCTGACAGGCCCAGAACTGGACACAATACTCCACGCGAGGCCTGATCAGCGCAGAGTAGAGCGGAAGAATGACTTCTCGGGTCTTGCTCACCACACTCCCGTTCATGCAGCCCAGAATCATGTTGGCTTTTTGTGCAAGAGTGTCACACTGTTGACTCAGATGTAGCTTGTAGTCTGCTTTGACCCCTAGATCCCTTTCTGCAGGACTCCCTCCTAGAGGGTCACTTCCCAATTGCAAAGAGGAGAGTAGCTTTCGGCATAGGGCAATGTGATACCACCCTGAGGCTGTCAGGCAGAGTGTAGTAGCAGCTGGGGGATTGCTCTGATAATGAAGATCCCTGTCTATAGGCATGGAGACCCCCTCTCTCCCCAGCTCCATTTCACATGGAGCCTTATGGAACACTGAGCACCACTCTAACCCATGGACAACTCAAGCTAGGCTGGAATCGTCAGTCCAGCCCTGACTGGCTTGGGGTCCCATTGCTAGCCCCCAGGGCTGTCTAGTCCCCCAGCATGTGCCAGGTTTGGAGATGCCCATAGAATCATAGAACCATAGAGCTGGAAGAGACCTCAGGAGTCATCGAGTCCAGCCCCAGCCCAAGGCAGGACCAATCCCAGCTCAATCATCCCAGCCAGGGCTTTGTCAAGCTGAGACTTAAACACCTCTAGGGATGGAGATTCCACCCCCTCCCTAGGGAACCCAGCCCAGCGCTTCCCCACCCTCCTAGGGAAATAACCCCATAGCCCCTCCTAGTGCGCAGCGAGCCCGGGGGGGCAGATTTTGGTTCTCAAGCCAGCTCCAAATTAGAAAGTTTTGCTCCCGGCGTATGGTGTTTTTTGACCCCGGCTCGGCCACAGAAATGGTCACAAGTTGAGCCTGTTTCCTTTCTGTTCCCTGGACCCCATTGAGACGAGGCTGCCTCCAGTCCACCCCGCCCTCGCAATGGTCAGTAAAAGCACCACAGGTGCATCCCCAGAGCTGGGAAGTGCCCCGTCCAGGCTCAGAAAGCAGAGCCTACCCGCGATGCTAGGCAGGACAGGGAGAGAGGAAAAGAGAGGAGGTTTAGAAGGGCAGATCCTTCCCGGGGGCCTGCAGCACTCAGCGCTCCCTTGCTCTGTCCCTCTAACCGGGAACTGGGGCTCCTAGGGATTCATGGGAGCGTTCCCAGTCACGTGTCGGCGAGCCCCCATCCGGGAGGTGGGTCTGCCTCGGGGGACGCCCATGTCACTCCAGGAGGCAGCACGTTTTCCCACGGCGCCGAGGGACGCACAGGGCTCTGGCTGTGCTCACACTCCCTGCTGCTCACCCCCTCCCTCCTCGGCTCAGTGCTGTATTTATTGCCCCCCAGACTCCCCGGCACACGGCACATCCCCACTTACTTGGGCTTGGGCTTGGACTCCCCTGCGGGAACCAAAGAGAAACAGAGCGTTAATGGCACGGCGAGACCCGCCTCCCCACTGCCAGCGCTGGGCCCGGGAGCCCAGTCCCCCGTGCGCCTGTCATGCTGCCGCCCAGAGGAACCAGGCTCTGAGCGAGAGGTCAGGGGGGCCCCTCCCACCCCGTTTAGGAGTGTTCCGATCCCAGCCATGGGTCAGGCTCCTTCCCTAGGGCCTGTCCCCACAAGGCCAGCTGGCAGAAGACCTCCCTGGCGACGAGACCACCCTGTTTTGGCCCTGACACCGACCCCCCCACTGAACCGGCAGATGGGTCGGACATTCAGAACGTGGCTCTCAGCAGGCTCCCCGCCCCGTGCAGGGGCCATCTACTGGCTGGACACAGGGGACACCTGCCCCCTTAGGCTCGGGCAGTGCCCCCCACTGTACATGCTCAGCCCCATAACACAGGGCCATGCTCCCATGGGCACCCCATGCACAGCAAGCCAGCAACGTGCCCACACCAGCTTTCCAGGCTGGCAGGAGGGGGGCAGGTCCAAAGCCCACACCCTCTCCAGCCCCACGGCGGACCAGAGTGAAGCCACCTGAATGTCTGGGGCACCATGTGCCCCTCCTCCCCACACCCTGCTCCGCTGCTTTGTAATGCCAGGCGGTCCCTCTTCTCAAGGGGCAAGGGGGTGGGTTTGCTGTCCCTTCTGCCCCACGCTCCATCCCTCCACCACTACCCCCGCAGGACTAGGTGCTGGTTCCCTCCTCCGGCCCATTCCCCGGGGGGCAGTGGGAGAAGAGAGATACGTTACCTTCCCCAGACTCCTGCTCTCGCTCCCCCTCGCCACCTGTGGGAGACACGGAGCGTGAGGCCCGGCCACGTGCCTGAGCCACGCCTGCGTGGCCTATCGGTGTCTCCGCACACAGCCTGCATGCCAGGAGGCACAGAAACAAGCGGGGGGGCTGAGCCTTCCCCTCACTTTTTCCCTCAGAAAATGGGCCCTGGATTTTTGGTGCCACCATTCTGAGGACTGGACACACAGGGGGCCTCACTGGAGCAAAACGGGTCCCCTGAGTGACCATTAAGGGGTGACAGGGAAGCATCTTGCACACGTCCCGCATCTCCTATCGTGCCAGCCCCAGTGTCACCAATCCTGCACAACGGGTAGTGGGCCGGGTCAGGAACGCCCGGCTCAGCAGCAGCAGGAGGGAGCTCAGGCCTGTACTGACCAGCGAGCAAACAGATCCTGTCCCCCAGGCTTGCTTTTACCTTCTTTTTCTTTCTCTTCATGCCCTGTTTTCAAAGCAGAAAGGACAATTTGGTCAGAGACGGGCTGTATACGCAGCGGAGACACAGCGCCCTGGCCACCCTATGGGTGGAGCATCTGCTGCCTTCGGAGTAGGTGCCTAGGGAGCTCAGCACCTTGCAGGATCGGCCTTGGATCTGCTCTGACACGAACCTCCTGGGCAGGGCCGGCCTGAGCCATTTTGGTGCCCCGGGCCCTGGTCGGGCAGCGCCGCCACGGGTGCATGGCACATACGTGAGCCCGCCCCCGGGGTGAGTGGTCTGGTGCACTGTGCATGCGCTTCCCAGCCACCACTGCTGGCACGCAGTCCGGAGCCACCAAGGCAGGCCTCACCTGCAGTCGCAGGGGGAAGGGCACTGTGGGGGTTAATACAGACCCCGCCCCGGCCGGCCACTGCAGCCCGCTGGGAGCCGGGCGCGTGGTGCCTGATGGCAGGTATAACAGCTGCCCGGCTCACCCACCCCTTAGTCCGGCCCTGTTCCCGGGAACTCTCTGCCCAAGAGGGAGCTAAGCCAAGACCCCTGTGCGGAGCTGGGAGGGGGAGAGGGGTCCTTTGTCCAGCTATCACCCGAGTCAATGACTCGCAAGGAGGTGTAAGATCCCATTCTTGCAGCTCAGCTCTGAAGCCCGAGCCAGAGACTAGGCAGCCCCCTGAAATGCACGAACCAATCCTAAAGGTTCAGCCACGTACCTTCTGCTGGGGTCTCCACAGCCTCCTCTTCCACCTCCTCTAGGTGTTCTTCTTGGTCTGCGGAACAGCGTGCAAGGTGAGGGGAGAAACTGAGGCCGGCTGATACAAGTAGGGGTCCTAGTGAGCCGGCGGCAGGGGGAAAGGCCACATGGCCATGGGATGGAGAGAGGCAGCAGTTTGGGTGGCATAAAATGGGTTGACTGAACCTCCACCCCACACTCAACTGAGCTTGGTTTTTATTGATGCTTGGAGGAACATGGAGGGGGACCCCTCCCCCATCTCCACGTGGCTTGGCCCTGCTGTGTCCCCAGCATGGCTAGAAAGGGAAGGGGCCAGACACCATCAGGGCTGCTCGTGTGGTATTTGCGAGAGGCTGGCAGGGCCACGCAGCGACAGCCCATCAAGATCGACCACCTCCAGAGCAGCCAGGGACACAATTTGCTCCGTCCTCATGGGGGTAGGGGTGGGGGAATGACGGTCACTGTTTTCTTGTGCCACTCTGGGCGACAGAAGTGGTCCTGGTGGTCGCCCGAGGGACCTGCCTTTCGTCATTCCCCCTCTTACCCTATCGCCGGCTCTGCTGACACCACGGACAGCGAGCGGAAGCATTGGTGCAAGCAGAGCACGGAGCAGAAGCTACAGGAGGCATGTGGGGCTCTGCAAAGGGATGTAGAAGGAGTGGGGCACTGCCGGGAGGAAAGGAAAAGGAACCGAACGAGGGGCGAGTTCGGCGTATGGATGAAATTTAGAAACGCCGGAGCCAGAATGGATTCAGCTGGAATCTTAGGGCAGAAAAGGGCGGGGGAGGAAGATCCACTGAGCCACACCAAGAGACAATTTTAAAAAAAGAGGTCACATCACATAGATACAGCATGTCTGTGCATGCAACAGATCGACAGGCGGACACTCGGCATGCACGTTGGCAAGCCGTGGGGCCGTAAAAAAAGAAGAAACGTTTTACTACCGTCTTCCTCCTCTAGCCATTCTTCCTCTTCTGACCCGTGGGAAGTGGCAGCAGCGAAGGGAACAAGTGGAAAAGGTTAGTCGGGCAATGAAGCTGTGGCATCTCCTATTTTACTGATCTCCATTCAGTGCCCCTGCAGCCCTCCGCCTTCTTGGTGTCTATCGAATGCGGCAGTGCAGGGGTAGCCCAGGCGTTAATGAAGCCAGAGACTAATAAGGCCTTTCCCCTATGACACCCGGTAGGCAGATATACACAGACATACGAACAGTCTCACGCACTCACACACACACACACATGGCTGCACAGCTGTGTAAGTCTTCAGCTTCCATTCAACACTCGGAGAAAGCAGCTGGCTCATGCTGACCCGTCAGTCAGCTGAGATTCCAGCTTCCACGTGGTTATTCCCAACAGCCCCACACTGCAAATGGTTACGATCCTGAATCCGCTCCAGGGCTCAGATCTGAGGCTTTAGTGGAGGCCTGTCTCCAATCATCCTCATCTCTTATAAAGTGAAGGGCAAATAAACCCTTCGGGTGAAATTCACCCCCGTGCAGAGGACTGGAATAAGGCCTAGGTGCCTCTCACATTGCCCATTAGCCCTGTGGCTTGCATCAGTCCCCTGGACCGGGGAGAGTTTCACCTTAACTGAACATCAGCTGAAGCAAAATTTGTTTACATATTGGAAGGAACATCCCCAGAACCGTTTTGTACAGTTCTACCAACCTGCAGCCATGCCAAACCATGCCAAGCAAAATAAAAAGAAGCAAAGTATTTACATAAGCCAGTAGTAACTACCCTTTGCCCTCCTTCCCCTTCCATACAACAGGGAACAAAAACCTACCTTCTTCCACACACTCCTCTGCAGGAAGGGGGAAGAGAAAGGGGAAGGAGGGGGAGAAAGAGAGCAGGTTATTGAAGTTGTATTGATCGTTTTATAGCTTCAGTCTGTCCTGATCTGCAGAAAGAGGGTTCTCGTTCTCTTACCTTCCTGTTCCCTGCAAAGAAGAATGAGAAACTATTAGATTTGTTTCTCCCAATGATTGCTCCCTGGGCAGGGGAGCACCGGACGGAATTTTTTGACATGAATTTTCCATGGAAAAATGCAGATTTGTCAAAACAAACCAGTCTCAAAACAGAATCAGTTTCAACAAGACTCACAACGTGGAAAAAAAAAGTTGGGAAAATGTTTTGTAACCATCCAAGTGCTTTGTTATGAACAATCACTACAGAAGTAGTTCTGGTTCAAAATTCATTTGAATTTCTACCAAATTTAAGCTAGTTAGCTGGGAGTGGAGAGAAGAGTCACACTGAAAAGAAGGCCAAAATCCAAACAAAATGGTTCAAAATCCAGACATCTTGATTGACAGGACTTTTTAGGGTTTTTGTTTTTTTAAACTCAGTGGCTGTGTCTAGACTGGCAAGTTTTTCTGCAAAAGCAGCTGCTTTTGAGGAAACACTTGCCAGCTGTCTACACTGGCCGCTTGAATTTCTGCAAGAACACTGACTTCCTACTGTCTGAAATCAGTGCTTCTTGCGGAAAAACTATGCTGCTCCCGTTTGGGCAAAAGTCCTTTTGCGCAAAGCTTTTGCTCAAAAGGGCCAGTGTAGACAGCTCAGATTTGTTTTGCGCAAAAAAGCCCTGATTGCGAAAATGGCGATCGGGGCTCTTTTGCGCAAAAGCGCGTCTAGATTGGCCACGGATGCTTTTGCGCAAAAAGTGCTTTTGTGGAAAAGCGTCCTGCCAATCTAGACGCTCTGTTCCGAAAATGCTTTTAACAGAAAACTTTTCCGTTAAAAGCATTTGCGGAAAATCATGCCAGTCTAGACGTAGCCAGTAATTTTATGGAAACTAAGCTTATGTTTCCATCCCAATTTAGAGCTGAGAAACATTTTGGACTAACAACATTTGCAGGATAAAAAAGCCTATTTCCAATGCAGCTTTCCTGGGGATGGTTCAGAGAGCCCCCCCATGGCTAATTTGTACTACTTAGTATTATGCATGTCTCTACAGGATGCACGTAGTTCCCCTCTACATGACGGCAGAGACGGGCCCAGGCTGGAAGGTTTCTGTTTGGATCCAAGTCCCCGCTTTCCAAGAGTCTGAGGTGCTCAGATCTGCCGGGCTTGGGTCACACCCTCATCGTGGGTTCCATTTATGGGAGGGAGGAAGATTTCACCATGGCCTGCAATCTTGAGATCTACAGCTCCAGGCAGAACTGGGTAATAATGAGAACGAATAAGCGCAATGGTTTTCAAATGACGGGTCGCAACCCAGGGCTGGGTGGCAGAATGTCAGGCATTGGGTCTCATGGCTGCAGGGGATCAGCTGAGCAGCGGGGGTGCTGAGGCAGCTCCCTGCCTGTCCTGGCACCGCAGACAGTGCTGCACCCCAGAAGCAGCCGGCAACAGGCCCGGCTCCTAGGTGGGGGGAGTGCACAGAGCTCCATGCTCTGCCCCTGCCCTGAGCACTAGCTCCGCATTTCCACTGGCTGGAAACCTGCTGCGGCTGCTTCTGGGGTGCAGCATAGTCTGAAGTGCCAGGAGAGGCAAAAAACTGCTTTAGGCCCCCTTCCCTCTCCCGCACCACACCACTGACTGGCAGTCGCTCAAGGTAAGCACCTCCTGCCCCAGCTCTGATCCCCCCCAAAGCCGGAGCCCCCTCCCACACCTCAAAGCTTGTCCTCAGCCCCACCCCGGAGCCCACACCCTAGTCATATTATGTAGGGTTGCGACATCGACAATTTTCTTCAACTGAGCCATGAGAAAAGAAATTCAAAAAAGAGCTAGATACATTCCTGGAGGATCAGTCCGGCAAAGGCTGTTGGCCGGGCTGAGCAGCGATGGCGTCCCTCGCCTCTGTTTGCCAGGGGCTGGCAATGGGCGACAAGGGGAGGGATCACTTGATGAATCCCTGTTCGGTTCCCTCTAGGGAATCTGGCATTGGCCACTGTCGACAGACAGGACACTGAGCGGGATGGACCCTTGGGCTGGCCATGGTTATGTTTTTGTGTCAATTTGAAAACTACTGCTCTAGAGGACTTGCTGCACTTGCTGTCCCCCTGGCCGTGGGAGGGACTGTTTTAAAGCCCAGCACTTACTCTTCATATTCTTCGATGATTTCTTCCACGTCGGACATTTTCAGTGATCTGGCAGGGAGGAAAAAGGAGAGCGTTGAAAGCGACAGTGACCCCCACAGCAGCCCAGTCAGTCCTTCATCCTGAGCCCTGCGGGTACTGGATGTCCGTGGCCATGCGGGATGAGCTTCGGGCAGCCCTATGGTCCATAGTCAAACTGCTTTTCAGGGGGGCGGAGTGCTCCCTAGGAGCTGTACTCTCCGTATCAGACAATCAGGCCAAGATGGCATCCAGAAATCAAGGCACCCCCCAAAACAGTCAGTCGCCATGTCCGAAAATTCAGTTGATGTGCGAGGCCTTGGCAGGCCTGAGCGATACGCATTTGTACAGGGGCATTTCCATGTGGATTCCCTTAGGCTGTGCGTCACACTCCCGCCTCCGCCTGCGCTCCGAGCAGCGTGCGGGGGACGAAGAGGGAGCCGTCTCCTCCTCCAGTCCCGTCCCGGTGCTGGGCTGCGGTGCTGAGGGGGGGCCTTAGAAAGGCGCAGTGGCAGGGAAGCGGCGGCCGGCCCCAGTGCAGGTCATGTACGGGTGGGAATAAACCCCTTATCTGCCCAGCGTTTTACTGAAACTCGTTTGTCATTTGGGATCTGTTTGCTTTTCCACTCGCCCCGAGAGACGGGGGCTACAGGCAGGGCCGACAGCCACATGGGCCCCAGGGCAAGACGTGTAGGGGCCCCCCCCCTGCGCACCCTCAGGCACGCGGTCCCCCACTCCTAGCTCCCAGCCGCGTGGAGCCGCGCTCCGGCAGCAATTCAAAGAGGCCTCCAGCTCCAGCTGCTGATGCAGATGCTTGTTCCATCGCCGGGCCCAGGGCAACTACCCCCTTGGCTCCCACCCGTGGGCAGGCCTGGCTGCAGCACAGCAATGCCACGTATTTTGCTTCCGCAATCCAAGGGCCCCAACTGCTAGGGACCTCTGGGTTCTCCCAGCCACCCCTTCCGAGCTGGGCAATTCAAAGAGGCCTCCAGCTCCAGCTGCTGATGCAGATGCTTGTTCCATCGCCGGGCCCAGGGCAACTACCCCCTTGGCTCCCACCCGTGGGCAGGCCTGGCTGCAGCACAGCAATGCCACGTATTTTGCTTCCGCAATCCAAGGGCCCCAACTGCTAGGGACCTCTGGGTTCTCCCAGCCACCCCTTCCGAGCTGGGTGCCAGCAGCCGATTGGCTCAGAAGTCCCTTGAGTACCTAGGGAATCCTTCTGGGGCCAGTTTAGCTGGGCTTGGGGCAGCTTTGAACGCCACAGCAAGGTGAGGGCCAAGACAACCAAGGCCAAAACAAAATGGCCGCCTGCATCCTGACAGGAAGCCCTAGAAAGAGACTTCGGAGCCACGGGCTGCGTTTAGGCGGGGGGGCTGCCACCCAGGGCTGAAACACTCGGTTACCCCATTAAAAACCAGCACTCCCTGTAAGCTTGTGCAGCTGTTCAGGAGAGATTCCAGTGCTGCCCAGCTGGCTAGCAGACGCCAACAGCTGGGTTTGGGTTTCTCCTGGTGGTGCACATTCGCACATGTCTGAGTGCATGTAACAAACTTTATTGTGCATGCGAATCGAAAAAAATTGGAGGGAACATTGGTCACAGGGGATGCTACTTCCGATGGAAACCCTTTCCTGGGCTCATTTTTTTGGGGGTGACCAAACCTTATTCCACCAGCTGCGTTTGTGAATTCCACGCAGCTGCAGCAGCAAGTGAGTGGGGTGGGTAAAACAGCTGGGTGGGAACAGCCCGTTCTTGAGGGGGTCTGTGCTTGTCACAGACAGGTAGGAGCATCTATAATTATCTTACAAAGCGAGGGGAAAGGAGCCACGTCAGCATGGAGCCTGAATGTGCCTGAGCTAATTCTGCCTGAGCGCCCCCTCCCCCACCGCTCAGCAACATAGTTCTCCTTAAATAGGAAGCATCCTCCACCAGTACTGATAACTCTGAGCGCCCCGCCCAGCTCAGGGTACGTAGCAACCTCTCCGGGCAGAGATGATCTAAGAGAGAGCTATGCTGCATGGGAAGTTCAGGGGAGGAGGATAAACCCAAGGAAACAGCCCATTTCACTCCCCAGTGCTCAGCTAACACGTAGCCAGCATGTTTCCTTCTGCCTTATTGAATGTACACCCTGGGACTGGCTTCTCCTCGGAAAAGTCCCCCACTGTCCCTGGCCACTGAGGCAGTCAGAGATGCTAGCATGGTAACTCCTGCCTTGAACCACGTGTGATGTAGTAGGCAAGCCATATACTAGGTCATACACGATGGTCATCCACTGGTGGCTGTGTTTGAGCTGGGGGTGACCCCTACTGGCCGGTATCTGTAGCACTGCCCAGCAGGACAGCTGCCTAAGCCACATAGGCAAAGACCCCAAGCAGGGAGGGAGGCAGAGACCAACACCAGGTTTCAGGGGAATGGGCAGTTGCTGGCTCGGAAACACTGTGGCTGTGTCTAGACTGGCCAGTTTTTCCGGAAAATCAGCCGCTTTTCCAGAAAAACTTGCCAGCTGTCTACACTGGCTGCTTGAATTTCCGCAAAAGCACTGACTTCCTACTGTAAGAAATCAGTGCTTTTTGCGGAAATACTATGCTGCTCCCGTTCGGGCAAAAGTCCCTTTCGTGCAAAACTTTTGCGCAAAAGGGCCAGTGTAGACAGCTGAGATTTGTTTTCCGCAAAAAAGCCCCGATGATCGGGGCTTTTTTGCAGAAAAGCGCGTCTAGATTGGCCACGGACGCTTTTGCAGAAAAGCGTCCTGCCAATCTAGACGCTCTTTTCTGCAAATGCTTTTAACAGAAAACTTTTTCCATTAAAAGCATTTCCGGAAAATCATGCCAGTCTAGACGTAGCCAAAGGGAACAGCTTTAGCTGAGGGTCTAGGGCTGACAATGGACCCCCTAATCCAAGGGGTCTCAGGCATCCTGGCCCTAATTCCTGAAACTACATCACATCTGTGCTGTATCCCAGAGCAGCAATAAACCCTCTCTATTCTACTGGCTGGTGGAGTCTATTCTTGCTGCTACGGGGTTGCAGGATCAGGGGGCCCCCCGCCACATCATCACACCACGTTAGTTCCTCTGATGGGTTGCTTATGCTGAGTCCTTCCCAATCCCTGCTCTGGGGCCCAGCGAGATTCACGAGGAATTCAAACATCCTGTGACCTTAAAACCACTTCAGCCAGGCAGAGAAAATGCTGGGAGACGGGCGTCTCTGTGGGCAGCGCTGTCTATGCACGGGCAGCCCAGCAAGTAGGTATCCATGGGGGGTGGGAGTCCAGGCTGCTGGGTTCTGTTCCTGGCCCTGCGGCTCACCTGCTGTGTGACACGGGGCGAGGCTGCAAGCCAAAGGAAAACCTGCAGCAGCAACTCAGAGCCAGGCTCAGTTAGCTCCATCTGCCTGGCTAAAAACAGCCAAGTGGACTTTTGTGCTCAGACCCTGGCTCCAAAACCGTCTTCCCCTCGTTGGGTTTCACAGCCTGAACTCCAGCTCTCAGTTGCCCCTGGCTCTGAATCTCACTGCTCTGGGTGTGACTTTGCAGTGTCGACCTACCCCAAGGCCACAATCCTCCAAGGCCTTTAGGCTCATAATTCCCTGGTGTGATGACTGGGAGAGGTAAGACCCTTTTCTGGAGATGCCAGCCATGCAGTCAAGTCTCTTCACGGGGTTTACTCTTAGGACCTACCTCTAATTGTCTTGCCTGTAAGGGCTGAAACCATAGACCGTGGGTCCTAGAGAGTCCCCAAGGAATGCCAAGGAAGCGAGTTGGCCAGAGGCCAGGAGAGCCAATGGAAACCGAGTAGGGACTTCTGAATTGGAAAGTGACCTTCCTGGTCCAGTCTTTGTATGACCAGAGCAGAGCCTGGGCAACATGAATTAAGCCAGGAATCCAAGCATGGAGTATTTATTCTAGAGACAGCCATACCCAAGGAAGGACTACATCTTGGAATAACAGATGTGGGTAGAAAAGGGAATGTTTAGTCAGATGCGATCACGTTATTTTCTTTAGCTGAGGGTTTCTTGGACTTTGCTGTGTGTCACTACCCCCTTATGTGCAACTTTCCAAACTGAATCCCGGGGAAACAATTCACTGTTTTAATTTTTAGATGCTCTAACACAGGGCTACTCAACACACACCCTAGGCATGGGATCCTTTTAACGTAGCCTCCACGGGGAACCCACTCTACCACCACACATCAATATAATGGTCTTCTGTTGATTAAATTCCTGGACTGTCATTGCTCATTTAAAGTGCTGCCATGTGGGTTTCCACCCATATTTACAGCAGGTAAATATTGCATTTTATGAATATCAGCAGAATGGACTTAAACGGGGCCTGCGTGTTGTGTAGTCTTGCCTGCCAGGCTGAAAGAAGCTATTTGCACACTTAAGTTGCAGCCTTCGGCTTGTGCGGTATCATTGTGGCCCCCCGGACTAATGTTTTCTTTGTTTTGTAGCTTGTGCGGTATCATTGTGGCCCCCGGACTAATGTTTTCTTTGTTTTGTTACCAAAAAAAAAAAATAAAAAAAAAATCAAATCTCTCTAAAGACCATGATCCGATTCCTGCGACCTAGCAGGTAGGAGATTGTGAGAACTGGTTCTTCAGCTCTCTCTGCTTCCTATTGGTAATCTCTGAACCGTTGGACAGCGTGAGAAGCTGCCTCTTACCTTACTGTCCTAGGATCCCACATGGCCCAACCATACAACACACCACAGGGCAGCACCTAAGAAACAGGAGCTGGGGAAGTGTCCTACATCTAAAATGACCACGTTCAAACGGCTCCCTCCGGGTCCCCAGCAAGGCTACCGCAGCAACAATGCCTTTGCCAGCTCTGGCCAGCAGCTCGTGTGTGTCCTAAATCCCCAACCCTAAATGTAGAAGCTTCCTACCCCAACCCTCCTTTCAGGCACCTCTCCAAACAGCTCCCATGTGTCAAACCACCTGTTCAGACAATGGTCCCTCTTCTAACAGTGTGGAACAGCCGGCCTGGCTCCATTTTTCCAGTGTTTCTTGCTCAGCCTGGGTAGAAGAGGCTGTAGAAGAACTTACTTGCTGCCTGGATCTAGAAATCCAAACATTGACAGGACAGACCCTACTACAGCCTAGAGGCCAGTGCAGGACTGGTCCCCAATTAATCTGGCATCAGCCAGAGCTTTGTTCATTCTAGCCTTATGCAATAGCCCTTCCAACACTTTCTTTGTAAGGCAGAGTTTGGCTGCCTGTGTTGCTGTCTGTTACACTGCTAGTATTTAGACTGTTCCATAATCTTATTCCATGTGGGATCTGACCACTAGGCAGTTTTTCCTCATGCTGAATGTTCATTTTTAAAACTCCTTCCATTACTCCTAGTTCCTTCTTAAGCCACCACAGATAATTCCTGACCCTTCCTGGCGGTTACATCCCTCCCAGATTTCTAGATGGCTAATACACCCTCATCATGGAAGCAAAAATCTACCCTTAACTTCCTAAGCATTAATCAAGCCAATCTACATGGATTCTCTTTTGCAAAATGACATTCAAGACTCCGTCATGGACAGAGTTGGGCAAAAAATGTGAATAATTTAAGTGAACTTTCTCCAGCTTCATTTGTTTCCCCACAAGACCCTAACAAGCCATGGTAGAAGAGGCTGTCATGTTTAAACAGACAAATATTTGAGGAAAGCAAATTTTGGGATATTTGTGCCAGAAACTTGATTTCAAGGATTATTTACATCCAGGCAGTGCACAGAAACATCTGGTGCTCTTGCATGCCGAGCAAAGGCAACTCAAATTGCCACTATCAAACAACTCAAAAGATACAGCATGTTAAAATGTTTGCACAGAACTTCTAATTACATGCTTCTGAGCTACAAAAACTCCAGGAAGTCTGTAGACAAACAAAAAGCTAAATAATTTATTTGCTGCCAGTCATCCTCCATCTTTAATAGGAGATCAACTGCTCCAAACAACCCTTTTCTCTGAAATATTCACTCTAGGAATTATTTTGAAGACACTCTCTGGCACGTGGTAGATCAGACTAGAAAACTACAAAAGTCCCTTCCAACCTTGGAATTATGAAGTCTTCTTGGTTTTTGGTCTTAACACTGAACTAGCACAGGGCAAGTTAAAACTAGATTACCTAGGTAGCAAACCACTGTTTTATTCCTACAGGAGATGGACTTCGGTGTTTAGTTCCAGAGCATTTATACAAAGAGCAATGCAAAAACAAAAAAAACAAAAAAGACAAAAAACCCTTAATAACCACCTCAATAAGTAGGTTCATTCGCAACTTGGATAATGCAAAGTGACCTATTCTGAACTCCATAGCACAACCATCCTGTGCCTGTACTTGCTTTGCCTGCCAGAGGGAGTTGGTAACAAGTCTCTAGAGCCCTTCTCATCCCCAAACAATTTGCACACACAATAGGCTTTGAGCTCCTTAGTCACCCCAGTACAAAAATCAGGAATCACCACCCCAGGCCTGATTGCCTTCTTTGCCCATCCCAGTGGGCACCAGGAGTAGCTCCCTTCAGCGTGACACTGGCATGAGGAGGCTCACGCTGTCACTATCCCTTCAGCAGCAAAATGCAGCCGTCTCTGGGGTGGAAGGAGCAAGATGTGGCCAAGGAGGTTGGGGCAGACCCCGATTCGGTCTCTGAGGCATGAATCCCTCAGTCTAGCAGGCAGGCATCTGGATGTGGTCCCATCTCAGCAGGGACTCGACTCCAAAAGCCCCTCAGGTCGTCTCCTTACCTCTGGCCCAGGGAGCAGGTGGGTCCCCCGCGGCCAAGTGGAAGCTGGCACAGTCTGAGAAACGCCAGTGGGAAGAGCGAGGCTTTAAACCAGGCTCCACAGTCCAGCCCCCAGCCCCGACGCCCAACTGGAGGAATGTGAGTGGCCGGGCTTGGTATGTGAACACTTGCTTGCTGCTATTTCGGCAGCATGGCCCCTAGCCCCTTGTGCGACTCTGCCCCCCTCCCCACGAGCCCATATAAGCCCAAGCGGCGGGTGGCCTCGGAGAATTGCTATTTTAAACCCGCAGGGCTGCGAAGCTGTCACTCTCAAGTGGCCAGGACGCCGATAGGCAACGCACTCTTGCCTAGAGGGGCCCTGGGTGTCCGGCGGAGGAGGCGAGCCTATGAATCCCAGCTCCCATCCCCCAGCCTTTCCCCGAGACACCACGTACGCCTATGCCAGGCGCAGAACCAGCGCAGTGAGGCGCCTGCGCTGGCGTTTAACCACAGGCCGCCAGGGGCAGAGCTGTAATGGTGCTGCCCGGCCCCAGCTCCCACAGGGCAGCCTGGAGCTCAGAGCCAGCCCCCAGGGGACACATCCCACCCTATAGCTGGACTCAAACCACTCCAAGGGCTGGCTCAGCCACCGAATTCGGGGGAGGCAGACCATTAAGGGAGGGAGCAGCCACCCCCAGAGCCATATTCCCCCCCCAGTGAGGATTTTACCTCAGGGCACATCCAGCCCCCACACCCCTGCCTCCCTCCAGAGCTCAGCACCACACTGAGAATCGCCCGGGGGAGCGAGACCAGCGAGGGGCCCCCCAAGAACAGGCCGAGGCCCGGAGCAGGTTATAGAAAGCGCCGTTTATTAGGAAATTAAGAGCGGAGGCCAAAGCAGCAGGCTCCTTCCTGAGGTGCGACCGGAGCACAGAGGCTCAAGCTAAAGAATCCCGGCCGAGGGCTCACAAAAGCCGCGCTCCGCCTTGCTCCTCGGGCGGGGGCCTTTGGACACGGCCATCGCGGGCGCTCCCCAGGGCGCCGCCTCCCTAAGCGGCCCCCCCCAGGCGGAGAGCAGGCAGGAGAGGCTCGTGCGGGAGCTGGGTTCGAGGTCCAGGCTGCGGCCAGGGAGTGCAGGCCCCTCACCGCAGGAGTTTCAGTTCTGTACAAGGCCGGCTGGGGTAAGAACAGGCCGGCTCTTGCGCGGGAGCAGCGGGGGTAAAGCAGGACGTGGGACTTGCCCCCAGGCATCCCAGCTGCAGCCCGGCCCTGCGCTGCAGACCAGAGTTGCCAAGGGGCCTCCGTGGCTAAAAGGGAAAGGGGGCAGCATGGAGGAGGCGGAGAACTGCCCCCCCCCCCCCCCAGGCG